CGGCGTTTGTCGGCTGTAGATTATTCATGATTCGACAAGGGAAGAAGAGTACTTGATGTATGATTTGGGGTGATGAGACAGAAAACACACACGTGTTGTATGTATGTGTGTGTGTGTGTGTGTGTATGTGTTTGCAAGTCTACCAGGCATGGCAGGCCGCAGGCTGCAGCAAGTCACTCACTCACTCACTCTTTTTGGCTTTGACATGTGGTTTGGTTTGATGGGAAGGCGGATGTGCTTCCTATGGGCAAGGTACCTTGCTGCTTGCGCACGGGTGTGACCACAAATATGCGTGATGAAGTGTGTGTTATGTGTTTGTCCATCACTCTGCCTTGGGATGGTTAGGTTATCCGTACTGGTCAGTGGTCACTGGATAGGTGAATATGCGCGTGGTGTCGGCTGGACTGGCGGGAACGAGAAGAGTCCAAAGAGGGCGAACGACGATGAGTGGTGCGCAGGCGAGCTGGGCATCGAGACACGGGGTCTTGCGGGTCCGGGGTAACGGGCCTTTGCTGCGGGGGGTCCGAGAAGGGCAACTTTGCCTAGTACCTGACTGGTGGGAGGTCCAGGCCTTGGGGGGGTGGAGGGGCAGGGCAGAAATAAATAGGTAAGAATAGTGTAAGAGGTGCCTCATTAGGTAGGCAGTGAATAGGTAGGGATGAAGGGGAAAAGGGCTGAGGGGGCACGGCACGGGGGGTGGATGGATGATGTGAGATGGAGGGCTCAGGTGCGACGCGGACGGGAATGGTGACGGGGTCAGGTGGTCCGTCGCATGTCGGAAGAAAGGGAGGCCACACAAACCTTTGAAAGGGAGAGAGAGAGATAGTACCGGTACCTAGGGCCTAGGCAATGCTGGGTAAGTATCCGTAGACTTGTGTAGAACTGTAGGTAAGTAGCTGGTAGATAGGCTGGTAGACTTGTGCGAGAGACAGGAGGAGCCAGCTGAAAAACACAAGAAAAAGGGATACACAGCCCAATGACACCAAGTATCTAATTAAGGGGTTCACGCACATAATTCCGTGATGCCTAAAGTTTCTTGGGGGTTGGAATTTGTCAACGTGTTGTTCCTTGGTTTGTCCACACCCAATTCAAGCTTCTCTCTTTTCTTCTTCATCACTCAACTGTGTTGAACTGAGTTTCTTACACATATTCTCCTCGTCGGGTTGTGCTTCTGATTCTACCTCTGCTTCTTCTACATCCTGTTGCAGTTATCCGCTCGTCGCCGACTTTACGCAAACCCGTCGTTGAGTATTATCGAGCACCTATACTCCATCTAATTACCGATCACTCCTCCAAAACTCCAAAATCTACAGGGTAGTTGGAAACGGCGGGCAACTCGCATGTCTACACTGCGTATCCCAACGCTGTTAACCTCGGCACAATCGAACCGGATTGAGCTCATCAGCCTACGTCTACGCCCACATACTACGCATCCACGGTCGCGATACCGATCCCGATGGAAGCCGCATCTCGCCTCGCCTTGATGGCCATCGTCACCCGGGCAGGAAGCCCGCAACAGCAGCTACGGCAACATCTACAGCAGCAGCGCGTGCCAAAGCAGCATCAACAGCAGCAACGAGACGAAAAGACGGCGTGGAAACATCTTCACCATCCGCTGGTAACAGTCGTCGAGTATGACGTTGAAGCGCAGGCGGGTCTGGGTGCAAGAGAAGCAGCAGCAGCAGCAGCAGGGGAGGGGAAGAGAATGTTGGGGAACCTGGGCCACCACCACTACCACCAGCAGCAGCGTTCCTCGGGACGGGGACGTCGGGGGAGCGCGGGGAGTTCGAGCTCGCGGTCGAGTGACGGGGAGAACGGTGCGATGGCTGCGCGAGGTGGATTGGAGGCCGTTGCGTGGTGGATTCTGATGGGGTTGGAGTTGTGTGTCGTTGGTGGCGTTGAGGGCTGGATCATTTACATGGTCTACAATGCCGGCGGTGATTTTGCGATTTGGAACTGGTGAGTATTCTCTCTTCTTCTTCCTTTTCTCCATTCTCATTCTCCCCACGAAGCATCGAGCATCATTCGAGGAGCATCGAGTACCTGTCACCCAGGGAGGGTTGGATCTCGATGGAGTCTTGATCTCGTGTCATACAAACAAATCAGGCATAGCTAACGATGACGGCACCCGCAGGTTATCCCAGTTCGCGTCGCCTGCCCTGATGATCCTCCTCAGCGTCTCCCTCTCGGCGGCCCTGCTACGCGGGGTCGGCTGTCTGAACAGGCTTGGGGATTTGGGGTTCCAGGCGGCCGGTCTGGTGCTGGCCACGTTTTGCGCCGTCGTAGTGTGCGCTGGTGTGAGTGGTGTTGAGGAGGGGCAGGGGGAGAACGGCGACAGGTTGGAGAAGAAGGGGGTGCGGGTCGTCGTCGGGTTGGCTGTCAAGATGTGGTGAGTAATTCGTTGCCCTTTTTTTTTGTCTTTCTTTTTCTTTACTTTTTCTGTCATTCTCTTATCCCATCACGTGTCGCTTTACGACAATATCTCTGGCTGGTCCGGATCAGTCCGTTCGTTGGGAGAAAAGGGATACCTACATGTAGGGATGCATGTAGTTTTGGCCTTGGCTTGGCTCAACACCAGAACCGACATGATGGACTAACGAATTGGGTTTCGCTAGGTTCCTCTTCTTCATTGGCTTCCTGTGTGCCGTGTTCCAGTGGTACAGCGAAGACCGGCAGAGGACAACAACATCTACGACGAACCAGACGCCGCTACTACCAAAGAAGGGGAAGAAGAAGGAGAGGGGCTACGGCACTACCACGGGCGGATTGGCGACCGTCGACGAGACGGTTGAGGGGTTTGTGAGCGACCTATGAGAGGCGCGCGGATGGTCTTCTCCCCTTTTTGCCATTACTGATGATGAATTCTTTTTTCACGAAGAGCATATGCATGATGAGAGCGCGCGCGCGCGCGCGCCTACACTACAACTGAGTTCCGCGACATTCCGATACCCCCTTTTTACCCGGTTCCTTTTCATCCGGCCGTGGTACTTCTGCTTTAGCCTACGAGCGGCAACAGCTGTCGTCCTAGATACTGCAATTCTACTGTACTAGAATAGCCTTTTCTTTCGTGTCACTGTCATATATAGCTAGCCTTTTTCTTTGTCAACCTGGTGAGATGAGATTACTCGTATCCATCTTACTGGCTGCTTCGGCGGTTACCTCTGCTCGGCATCAATTGATGTAGGACAGGTTATCCCACCCGAATGATAGCTACCTTATGCTGCCGTGATTCGATCGCGTTTGATGCCACGACACATTTACATGTGATAGCTAGCCATGCGACAGCCAGCCAGCTCGTCGATACCAGCGATTGCACTGCATGCGCATCTATACCCATCAGTACAGTAAGCTCACATCTATGTGGCGCGTTGGTACTGGACGACACTCTTTCGCCGATTCTGGCTTTAGTGATGATGGAGGCTCTCGGAAACTCGATACCTGGGCATCGCTGCTCCTTGGGGAGACGAAACGGCAACTTTGAGTTTAATCGGACGGCAGGGCTCGGTTTCGCCGCCGGCGCTTCAAGGGCGATGGAAATAATACTTTTACTGTGTTTCTCGTTTCGTCGGGTTGTATTCCGCCTGCCGAACTCGGTAGTGTTTTCATCATCTCATGATAGCTTTATGGCTCTACGGATTGCTGCCTCTCTGCTCATGAAGCCGTCCGTGAAGGTTGCTCGCTCTTCTTCTTGGCTTTTAGTAGACTGCAGTTTGCGGTATCGGTTGAATTAGTTTCCCGTGAGTCGGCTTCCAAGTTGTCAGTCGCGGACCAGCAGGTGGTGGTTCGGCAGAGCATTACTGGTTATCGAATTTAACCTCGTCTGATGATGTTGCCCAAACAATCAAGACGACGTGAGCAACGACCAGCCCCTGACCTTAACGCTACCCCTCTTCGAAACAACGACGTTGATCCTCCCAACTTCAGAGATATGCGCCCCGCGTTAGATAGTCAGTTTGGGGCAAACTTGTCTCCTCCTGACCAGCTCCATCGCATACAGCATGTTGATCTCACTGTCCGTCTCGTTCCCATGGGCCGTCCTGGTCACCGTGGTACGACTCATTGTGCGTGTATCTGGAATACAACGACTAACACTCTCTCGATAGGCATGGGCCTTTGGCCAAGACGCCCCAAGCCCCGGCGCGCCCATCCCGGGCTACGGCATCTTCATCCCACGATGGGAAGTCCCTTCGCCCGACGGCAGCGGCGAGACGCTCTCCTTTCGAGGCACGGTCGAAGAAGTAGCGACCCAGATGCGCGACATGCACCCGAGCTTCGACATTGACGACAAGTTTGGCAAGATTGCCATGCCGGCTATCGGGAAGCGGGCCACCTTTGAGGATAATGACCAAACACTGTGCCACAACTTCAGGGAAGGCAACAGAACGGCTGCACATGTCAGTATCGATGAACTGAGGACCGTTCAGGGGAAGCCTGAGAACGGGGCCGGGCCTGCGAACTGCGGACGGGTTAGCTGTCGGAACGGCACCGCTATCTGGTGGTGCAATGATGTGAGTATCTTGCTTTCCCCTTCTTTGAGGACCTTGTTAGGGTTGGCCTAGCATGGTGAAGTGTCTGATACGTTTGTTCGATGCAGGCCAAGAGCACCAAGCAGATAGATTCGTTTGGCGACATTGCCGACGGCGCTCAGCGCGTCTTGTCAAAGTGCAAGGACAAGCTGGATGCCAATCAAGGGCAAGGTATGACTGTCAGCGGTCAGGCTTTCCACAAGGATAGTTGGAATGTTGTTGTCCGAGGCGGAGACAACTGCGATGATGCAGGTGTTATGATGAATCCCAAAGGCTCTCGGAGGCTTTTCAAGGCGTAAGCGCCTTGAAACCAGCCGCAGTGTGTGACGTTAGGAGAATATGGGTGTGGCGAATCAAGGACTCCGAGCTGCGGCATATGAGTTACGGACATCGAGAGTTGTAGATTGCTAAGACGAGAGACAGAGTGGCCAAGAGAATGGATTTTCATAAACTCGTCATGTCAAGTCATGTTCACTATCTTTTGATGCTCTGAAGAACCCAGTCCTCTCCGTCTCTCCGTAGCCCTCCGGTAATACCTGATGCCCTCAGGTGCGGTAGCCTGCTATCCTTGTTGGGTGTTTCCTCGACATGATCCCCTAGTAGCACACTCTTCTCATCTGGGTGCACTGCCAAGAGTGCCGGGAGAGGCGAGCCCTTGACAATCTCAATGTCTAGACTAGCAGTCTCCACCATGATGATGGCCAAGGTCAGAATCGAGAGTCCGACCTGAGCCGCCAGTAGCGTCAACCAAGGCCACCGGATCGAGACGAATCTCTCCTCCTGCCACGCAGTCCCGCTGACGTTACTGACCAAGAGACTTCACGGCGTCAGCTCGTATTCATGTACGCTCAACAGAAACGCAAGATTCCCCGAGTACTTACGCATTCGTGAGGCCACTGGCAATGTTCTCAGTAAGGTTGCGAAGCGTTGTAAACAGGGCGTCATCCAGCTTCTGAGACTCGGTTGTCTCATTGATGCCGATTGCAGCTCGCGATAAAGCTGTCCCATAGATTTGGGTCCCGTTCTGAAACATGTATGTACCACCGTCAATGTAGGTCCCCGATAGAGTCGAGTCGAGAATAGCAGCAATCTCAGCAGGTCCCATCCCGTCGGCCACATACTTCTTGCCCGGGTTGTCTGGAGATGTCAAGTATGTCACGTTGCTAGTCATGTTATAAGTCTCCACAAGGACCTCTCCCGTCTGCGGATTCGTGTAGGAAGTGACCTTTTGCGTGACGAGGAGGTTGTCCTAAACTATAACCCTGTATGTGTTCACACACCAGTGCAGCATGATCTCAGTGGCTCGTAGCCGGGGACCGTTAATCACGAAGAAGTTCCATATCTTGGCTCCCATGGCGTCGGTACCGTTGAATGCTAGACTCGGGCCGCTGGAGATGTTCAAATTGCCATACCCATAGCTTCTCTGTAACTTCAAGCCGTTAGGAAGCGAGGAGTTCGTGCCCATTTCGATGGGGTCGCCATCAGTCTCGAGAAGGTCTGTGACATCTGAAAGAAGTTAGTTTACGAACAAGGGGAAAAGTAGAGTGGCAATGCTCCTACTCTTCATGTCAACGCATACGGCAAGTGAGGTGAAGTCGTCCCAGGTGCAGTTGTTCGATCGGCAACTGGCTTGATAATAGGGCATTACCTCGTTAGGTGGGGTGTAAAGACTTCGAGGAATAATCTGGTTGATCGGGAACATGATATCTCCTGCAAAAAGGTCAACTTTGAAAATATATGTATTAATTGGGCTAGATGACGAACTTCGAGAAGGTCCGTTGGCAGTCGCCCAGAAGTACTCATTGTTCCTTCGTGTAAGTGCGGTCTCGTTTCCGGGAATCGCAATCTGACGAGTAGGGTAAGTGACAACGGATTGTGTCAGCGTTGAGGTCGCAATCCCAGAAACCAGTATGACGGCTGAGAGAATTCCGACCAGCCTGTATCATCTCAACTTGTCAACTCTCTGCTGCCGAATCGCACCTGCTTGGCTTGAGGTGATTCACGTACCGGCCCTTCGTCCTAAGCAGCAGCTTCAAGCTGCCCCACGGCCCGCGGCTGGCTTCGTCAAAGACCGCAAAATCACCCAATGGCCTCGGCGACTTGTACCAGTTCCATTTGTACTGCGATAGACTTTCGACGACTGGGAGAACGAACGACGTGCGACAGAATGTAGAGATGAAGGCCACGACGGTGTTGAGCGTCAGACCAAGGGGCCAGTTCGGCAGTGGCTGATTGTCGTACGACCTGAGCACCGAGACGAGAACGATGATGCATACAACGCTGATCAAGCACCATATGATCTCTGGCCACCACCCTTTCAGGATCTGCCATCGACGTCGCGGAGACCGCCTTGTGTTGTTCCTCGTCTTCTCGGCGCTCGATGTCTTCACCAGCTCGTATTCCGTCTCGCCGCTCGCAAAGGTTGACTTGGAGGGTAGATCTCTTCCAATCTCCGTGCTTCGAGGTTCGTCGGAAGGGCGTGCCGTGGACTCAAGCTCCTGTTCCCAATCGTAGACGTGGGTATGCGCAGATGAGAGCAGCAGGGCCTCGTCGTACCCAAGCGGCGGAACGTACGAGGGGACTGGTTTCCGCCGTACTTGGCGCGTCTCGTCATCCTGCCCTCTTGAATCCATCACGAAGGTTTGCCTGCCGCTGTGCCGCTGTCACGCATGCGAAATGTGGGCGTCTCGGGTGTTGTCCTGCGAGCTTATCGGTGTACCAAGATCGAGCTCCTCAGCCTCTCCGTAAAGTTCCATGTTCCGGGGCGGTCTCTTCCCTTTTTTAGATCCGGAAGCCCATGAAAATGCTCGCATTGTCACCGCCACGAAGGGGCGCCTAAGTGTGAATTTGTGTCATAAGCACTACCCCAAGTTGGCGTAGATCACCCAAGCACGGTTTGATCATTCACGCTGCGAAACATCTTTAAAGTAGCTGCCTGGGCAAGCTGACAGGCTAGGTCTTACCCGCCACTCGCTAAGAAATAGCCCGACTAGCGCGGGATTCAGGCCATTTGGAGCTGGCTCTTTGGCAATGAGAGCTTGCGTGAATCTGTCGGGCCATCAATGTTTGTGGAACAGTAGCACTGTTAACTTGTGAGCTACTCTAAAGACAGGAAAAGCCCCTCATTCGGACGAATAGCAGCAACCTCGAGTTTAATGAGAAACTTATCCTGCCTCTCCGCCTTCAATCAGCCCATTTCCAAGCTAAACCTTGCGAGATCTATGCGAACTTGACGCCGTTCTTTAGCGTCCCGATATTGGTGATAGTGACTTCCATCTTGTTTCCAGGAGCAAGCCATTTTGGGGGCTTGAAACCCGCGCCAACGCCTTTCCATGCCCTTAAGTCAGTACAAGGAACGATCAACGGGTGCGTGCTGGATTCTTACCTCCTGGTGTACCCGTCATAATGACCGAGCCCTTCTGCAGTGTAGTCCCAGAGGATAGATAGGAAATAATGTAGGCACAATCGAACAGAAGATCATCAACGCCCTCAGTTTGCCTCACTTCGCCATCAACCTTTGTCTCAAGGTGAAGCGATTTGGGGTCCCCAACAAGATCAGGTCGAACGAGACAGGGTCCCAAAGGTGCAAATGTGTCAAATCCCTTGGAGAACCCCCACTGTGGCACGTTCCCTGCAAACGCAGCATCACGTTGGAGTTTCCTTGATGAGATGTCGTTGCCACAAGTGTACGCAGCAACATAATTCAGCGCATCTGACACAGATACATCCTTGGCGTCTTTTCCGATAACAAGACATAACTCGCCTTCGTAGTCGGCCTGGTCATCCTGGCAGATCTTTGGAATGATCACATCTGCGTCATGGTCCAGAACAGTTGTGTTGGGTTTGAAAAAGATGAAAGGGAACGGCGGCGGCTTGCGGCCGGCCTCTCTGACTGAGAACGTGGTTAGTATCTAGCTTATCATGCAGTGCGTTTGACTTACTGTGCGTTGCATAGTTCAGCCCTACACATCGGAGAATAGGCACATCCTCTTGCGCTAAAGGGCCGAGAAGCTTCTTCACTACAACAATCTCATCGGTGACCTTGGTCTTCCCTGAGGTGTCATATATGTCAGAGCCCTCAATAACTTTTGCCTTCAAACTTGTCTCCTCGGTAGTGTTTCCCAGGTCGAATCCCTCATGAGGGAGGATGGGCTCTCCTCGGAGGATTCGCCCATCGCTTGCAGCAAAACGAATGAGTCTCTGCCACGATACCAACATTATGGTGGTTTGGCGAGTAGACAACGTGAGTAACGGTAGTGTAGAAGTACTTTAGGAAACTTTGTCAATGTATGAACTGAATATCATCTTGCTTTTGTCACCACGATATCACGCCACCCCGCAGGCCCTTCGACTGTTGGCAGTGATGACTGCCGTCACACAAGCCGCTTAATAACGGCATGGAATCGGGGATATTGACATCTCCCCGCTTCGCAATACACATCGCAGGCCGTCCAAATTGACCTTGGGATAATGCATCCGACTTGCGGGACGATTCCGACGGCCTCTCGACAGGGCATCGCTACCGCGCGGAGGTTGTGGGGAGTCACTGAATGCGGGGATCCGGGGAGTTAAGGCTTAGTTTACCAGGGTGTTCACGACGCTCAATCCACGGCAATGGGCACGGGATGCATCCGTTACCAGGTCTGGTAGCCGCGAAACAATGAAGGACCTCTTTCATATGAACCCAGGATTCGATCACAAATTCCCAATGAGGTAACACGGTGACGCTTCAAGTTGTAGACGATCTTTCTATCTAGTCTCCGACTCCACATTCCCTCCATTTCAACTTTTTCCAAAATGCCCGCTGCTACCAAAGTAATTCAGCCTGTCTCGCAGGACCTATTCGTTCGGTCTCACAAGTCACAGAACGAGAATGAGCGGACAAAAGGTCACGTCGGCGATGAGTTGCACAGTAAACAGCATAACGGGCTAGCTGGCCATCGTAAGCCACTTTCCACGTCTTATCCCTCCAATAGCCTCAACTTTCTTCGAGGCCTGAACTTCGAAAAGGATGGGAAGATATCAGAGAGCAACCCATCAACGCTGATTGCTCTTGATATCCTCATTGTCGGAGCTGGTCTTGGCGGGCTTGCAACCGCAGTTGCTCTGGCGAGAAGTGGCCATCATGTTACTGTCTTGGAACAGGCCGCTCAATTATCAGAGGTAAGCTTGCCTGAAACCCATCCATACGATGTCAATCGGAGCCTCTTGGGCCATCTGACCACTAATTATAGGTTGGCGCCGGCATCCAGATTCCGCCAAACTCCAGCAAGCTCCTTCAAAGATGGGGGGTGATGGATATCATGGCAGAGCAGGCAGTACGGCCTGACGGCATCTCGTTCCGTCGCTGGGAGAATGGCCATCGTATTGGCTTTACTGATCTCTCTGAAACATTTATCGAGCTCTGCGGGGCACCATACTACGTCGCACATCGTGCTCACCTCCACTCTGCTCTCTATCAGCGGGCCAAGGACCTTGGGGTTGCGGTTCGCTTGGATAGCAGGGTCGCTGGCTATAACCCTCACCTACCAAGTGCGACTCTGGCTAGCGGCGAGACTTTTTCAGCTGATCTCATTGTTGCTGCCGATGGTGAGCACCTCCTTCATGTTATAAGATGCGGTCTTGATCTCGGCTAATATCCCCTTGCGACGTAGGCGTCAAGTCGGTAGCTAGAAGTCTGCTTCCCTCCAACCAAGTTGGGGCAACGAACTACACTGGCTTTGCAGTCTACCGAGCCACAGTAGATGTCAGTAAGATGAGAAAGATTCCAGAAATTGCCTGGATCCTTGAGAAGCCTGGATTGCACGTCTGGTGAGTTCATATACGACCAAGTATGTCAGAGATGGCGGTCTAACATGCTCCATAGGATTGGCGAAGATCGTCACGTCATGACTTACACTATTGCTGCCGGCGAATCCTTCAACATGGTGCTATCTCACAGGGACTCGAGGGATCCTTCAACGTGGGAACAAAAGACACAAGCCGAAATTCTGGGAGAGATGAGAGCAGAATTCCGGGGTTGGGACTCACAGTATGACCCCAGTGCCCGTTTGTTTTCAAAATATATTTGCTCAACTTATTGACATATCGTAGGCTCACCAAGATCATCGAACTGATTGACACCACAATCAAGTGGCCCTTGATGGCTGGCGTCCCGTTGGATAATTGGGTCGCGGATTCCGAGCGTCTTGTTATCCTCGGCGATGCAGCCCATGCAATGCTCCCCTACATGTCGCAGGGGGCAGCCATGGCGGTTGAAGACGGTGCCGCTCTGGCTGTGGCCCTCAACAATATTCAGAATCGTGAACAGCTCGGTCTTGCGCTTCAAGTGTTCCAGGGAGAAAGGAAATCACGCACCTCAATGATGCAGGAGGCCAGCATGGTGAATGCCCTGCTATGGCATTTTAAGGATGGCCCCGAACAGAAGGCTCGAGATGAGGCGATGCGTCCCGAAGTTGAGGGACGCAAGTTTGCGAGCAGCCCAAATCAGTGGTCCGACCCCCTCACTCAATCGTGGGCTTATGGATACGACGCCGAGGATAGGATGTTGGAGAAATGGAAACAGGAGAGTGAGGCGTAAGAATATTGATATCGATATGATTGCAGGTTCCAATAGATTGTGGAAAGATCTGGTCGATCAGCTAGACTGAGAAAGTTTGAAAGTTTAATGTTGGAACCAATGAGAAGGATATGTTACATGGCGTTTCATCTTGCAGACCATCATGGGATACCTTGCAGAAGGTCGTAACAGTTAAGATAGTGGATGACAAGCTGTTCGTTGAATTGTTCCAAGGAGATGGTACCTGTCCATATCTGTATCGACGAAATTTAGATGCAAGATGTATTCTCGAAGCATGCCTCCTAAACCCTCCACTAAGATAACTTTCCGTCAGGAGCAAAGACTCTTATTCAGCCCTGGAAAATTATAAGTTGGGCAGCTTCGATTATACAACAACAGTTCACTTATTCCTACATGTAGTGACCAAAATCAAGTGTCTAGCGCCTACCAAAATAAGTCCCCTGTAGCAAAATCATCCATCAACTCAGACATGGAGAAGTTTGCACCAGTGTTGGGGAAATCGTTGAAGTTGGGTGGGAGATAGTTCATCAGGGTAGAAAAGGCGTCGTCCATTCCGCTATTCGCCGATATATGCGTGCTTTGCGCGTTCTCACCTCCATTCGAGGGAATTGCGTGGCTTGGCCCCATCCCTCCCACTTCATGAGCGATATCGTCCCGACCCGGAGCTTTGCTGAGGTTAGTCTCTGTAGGAATATATTGTAAACAAATTCGATCACGTACTCATTTGCAAGCTTTGAATCATGAAGATCAAGGTCGCAGTGAACTTTGCGCACTTCTCTACCATGGGGTTCTGGATATCCAATCGCGCAATGCAACTGACTGCACTCTTTAGAATATCGTCAAGCCGTATAGCGGTATTTGTATATCCTTGATCAAAAGGCATAGACCCATAGCTATCTTCGACCAGCTTTGTCGCAACAATAGTCAAAGAGGCATTGAAGGCTTTTGTGAGATTAGCTGGCATCCTTCCAGGTAGCAGGCCAAACTTACTGAAGTACAGGCTAAACCACCATGCTCCAAGGAATGAAACGGTAGGCTGGACATCATTCGCAAGTTTGCAGGCTTCAACTAAGCGAATGATAGCTTCCGCCGACCGCAGGCATACTGTTCTACTAAGATGCCACGCCTGTTGCAGCGTGGCTGCTTCCTGAAGAGACTGAGGGCTTCCATCGAATGATTGTAGACAGCGGTCTAGTATTGGGCGATGCGACAGGAGTTGCAAATTATGATACCGAAGTGTCAGTATCACTCGGAACTTCAGTAACATCAACTTCCCCTCAGGGCTGGCGACTTCACTCGGCTCTACAAGTTGCATCGATAGAGGTAAAGATGCCTGCCAATCAGCCAATTTCTGTCCAATCTGTATCACACTAGCCACTGTGTTTGTTAACGGAATGGCAGATATTGACCCGATATTGCTTTCGTATAGATCGTCAATCACGGCGGCGGTCACACCGTAAAGCGTGCTAGGTAGACAGTTATTAGTCAACATTAGGCAAGGGGAGGCTTTGTGGTAGTCAAACATTGATGCATTCCAAAACATAGTGCTCTCTTCCTCGTTAGACCATCTCGAGATATCGGAAGTTCTTTGATGGGAAATGAAATGTCTTGGCAACGGTGTTCGAATATAGTTTTGCGGAATAATGGGCGGCCGGCCGAAGGTCATACTCAGTGTTCTATATCCCGATAGTGATCTTGTTAGACATAGTTCCTTCGACGGGCTTCTAGATCCACCGAATATGCTACTTGCCTATCGAGTACGACACATCCATACCAAGTGCGTATTCTTATTTCTCTCTCGAGTGGTTCGAATCTTTGAAGAGCCAATTCGGAATGAAACCCTAACTCGAGTGCAGCTTTCACAGCGAGCCCGTGTATTGCCCATGTCTGTATAGACCGTTGGCTGCCTTGAAGGTACTGTGACATCAGGAGCATGGCCTGGACTTGAGAGATTTGAGGTCAGCTAAGGGAACTAGCACGTACTGGGGAGATATAGCAGATACTGAAGACGGAAGGGAAGGGACTGCAGCAGTACCTGCTTCTACGTTGGCCCCTGTCATCATCTCAGTCATAGAGAGGGCTTTGGCGCGCCGGTAATGAACATCTGAAATTGCCTGTCGATCGCTCAAACCGACACCTGTAGCGTTCATGGTACTCGTTGCCATGGCCAAAACCATGTGCAATAGTGCAAGCCAAGCGGTTTTCGCATTTTGCATGCCCGTTTCTCGGTACTGAGCGTACGTTTTCCAGAAACTTTCTTCGTGTATATAAGGAAATAGGAGACCTGTGTCACGGAAGAATTGGCGCACAAGATTGATGACCTCTTCTTCGGGTGGCAAACGCAATGCCTCGGATGGCTTTTCGAGTTTCCTTGAGTCGAAGGAATCAGTGACTGGTGACTGAGATCTCGAGACAGCCAGGATGTGTTGTTGTGCATGTTTTGCAGGTGTCGAGGATGCATCTCCGCGCTCATCTTTTTGGGTCTTATTCAATAAGTGGTCGAGCGTGCGGCGAATAATTCTCGTGAAGGCAATATTGGATGACGGCCCTGAATGATTGATGATGGAATCAGCAGGTATAAAGGGAACATCGAGGCCCATGGCCGTGAAGCCTAGTTTATTGTGTCATACCGAAATACGCCCAAGACTCGTCTGTGGTAAATTCAATAGTACCAACACCGTCTGTCGCGTCGGGGGTGATCCCCTGCGTGACGCTTCCATCCTCAACATTCAGTGACTCCTCGGGATAGTTGACTTCCGAAATGTCGTCGGTACGGCCAGAAACACTACGTGGAAAGAGGACGTGTTGCTTTCCTTGTAGAAACGAGGCGGGTATAAGTCTTTTCAGCCGACTGATTTCTTCTTCGACATCGGCTAAGCGGTGTTCAACTTGTTCGAGATATCTATTCACAGAGTAAGATAAGTCTTGAAAGACTCTGCATAAAGTTCCACTAAACATACTGTTTCGGTACCAGCGCATTGCTCCCACCAGAGTTGGCTGCGTAGATACATTCGATACCTTGTTCGACGCAAGCGGAGCACTGAGGCCTAACACCATCGCACTTTTCGAGAGTGTATTCTGATTAGTCTTCTTGGACAGCCAGTGGCACCTGCTGGGCGGAAAAATCCCGTTCAGGCGAAAACTGCCAATACTGGCTCCCACCAGCGTGGTAGTCTGAGAATCTCGCACTCACCCTCGACTTCCGAGCACGGCAGGAGCTGCAAGCAATCGGGATACGCTTCCGCTTCCGAGTCGACGCGCCTGTTGGCCCGGGAGTGCTGTTCTCCATTTCCCGAGGAAAGTCTTCATACAGCTTACAAGTTGTGCGGCACGATAGGGCAGAGACTGGTGGAGGCGGGGATTTAGAGAGAAAGATGATCAAGTCCCCGGTGTAGTTGAAAGGGGAGGGCGGGGAGTTAGGGAAGAGCACCGAACTCTAAGTGCTGTACGCCTAACGCTGAGAGGCTGTGCTACGACAAATCGCGTACGGTTAGCGTTGTGGTTGGTGTCTTTGCTGAGCCTCCGACCATGCTATTTCGGCCAACAGCTTAAATCCCCGAGCACACCTGTGTTCGTTTTGTAACTCACCGTCACGTTGACAGTATTGACGAAACGCGGTTGGTCTTCATGCGGGATGAGAGTTCGGCAAACACCCGGAAATCATGTGTTTTTGATCAAGTCATAAACACATCTCGTCAACACTGAAATGTCGCTACTGTATCTAAGCATCATTCAAGAAGAGTAAAGATAGTCAATCAATACCTTACCACTTCACTCGAGCAACTCAACGTCGTATCATCCTGACAATCCGAGAACTAGCCATGTCTTCAACGACCGTCACAGAAACTTCGCACCAAGCCGAGCCGGCTGAAGACCACACCGCAACGATGTTGCGCGCCGCCGAGGCCAACCACACAAAGCCTTTGTGGCTGCAAATGACCAAACTAAACCCCCCTCTGCCCAACCCACGGTGCACACCCCATCTTTGGAAGTATTCTGAAATTCAACCCACTCTCTTGCAAGCGGGTCAGCTTGTTACCGAAAAGCAAGCTGAGCGTCGGGTGCTTATGCTCGTCAACCCTTCCAGAGGTACGCAGCCTGCACCGATGGAGCTTCAGATCTGTTATTACTTCGAATCATTAGATCTGTTCCTGACTCAGAACCCCAGATGCTCCATTCACGACTGACACTCTTTACGCTGGGCTGCAACTGGTCATGCCCAATGAGACGGCACCAGCGCATCGGCACACGGCTTTTGCTATGCGCTTCATCATTGAGGGCAATGGCGGCTTCACTGCCGTTCATGGAAAGCGCATCCAGATGAACCGGGGAGATGTAATTTTGACCCCCACTTGGAATTGGCATGACCATGGAAAGGATGGGTCTGGCCCGATGATCTGGCTTGACGGCTTAGATTTGCCCAACTTTACCCACTTCCCTGTTCATTTCGTCGAGCATTTCTCATCTCCACGATACCCAGCAGACAATGTTGATACATCCCAGTCGCCCATTGTCTTCCCATGGAGTCGGATGAAAGCAGCACTTGACGCCGAGGAAGGACAATATGCTACACAAAGTTATCTCCGTGCAGATGGATCTGAAGGTACTTAATTCCCGTTCTGCTTCATTATAATTGTTGGAACTTGGACTGACTTGTGCAACGCTCCAGTCAGCAAGGTTTTAGGTGGTCGTGCAGCCCGCTTGACCTCCGGTGCCAAGTCCTCTCTGGTTCAGGAGACCGCATCATCTGTTTATCATGTCGTCGAGGGATCTGGGCGCTCTCGTATCGGTGATACAGAACTTGTTTGGAACAAGGGTGATACCTTCTGCATTCCATCCTGGTATCCTTACCAGCATTTCGCGGACGAGGGTCTGAAGACAGATGTATACCTGTACCGTTTTGATGACATGCCTATGCTGAAAAGTCTGGGATTCTACCGCTCAGCTGACATGGATGTGGAACGTCTCGTGTCGAAGTGAACGATTGTACGCTGGACCATTCACGTGTAGACTAAGTAGGCAGACTGAATGAAATATCTTTTACTGCGGCAAGTGTACCTACCTAGAATTCGGGGTCTAGGACAGAGTTTGCAAACTTACAGACGGTTGATTCTTCGCGCCGGAGCATGATTCACGTACCGCTTGGTGCAAGTGTTTTTTGACAATCATTGATAATGTTAAATCACTCCAAGATATCGTCCATCTCAATTGAATATAAAACTTTCCAACTCATTATGGATTCTTAATTGTAACAGAGCTCTAGTAGTCGAGAGCCCGAATGTTTTTATTTGCTGCCAGAGAAGAATGATAGACGGGATTCGTACGCTGGCGTTTCTACATCAACTGCACTACCCCTGTCCCGTCTAAGACTACTCTCTTAGTCTAAGCGAGAAATGCAGTCTTGCGAATGACTGTTTCACTGAAGAAGTAGAGGGGGATCACCAATAAGTACACCGCCCAGAGAATTCCCGCCATCGTACCAAACTGAGCGACGGGTCCCGCCTGTGCCATCCAGCTTGTGGCCGCGTAAGAAACTCCGAAGCCGACAGAGTTCTTGATCAAATTCACCAGCACTCCGATGTGGCTTGCTCTAGGTGGCATGGTGTCAACAGCGTACGTCAGTAACACATTCGCCGAGCAAGTCAGACCTGTGGCAAGCATGCCATAGCCAACGCTGACTTGCGCCCACTTCTCCGGTGATGCAAGGCCGTACCCAATGACCAGACATCCAGCTGGGCTGATTAGACCTCCGATAATCACAGCAGGCAACCTCGAAGCTGGATCTTGTTTTCCACCATTGCGACGTGTATCTCGGTTGAATAGGTAATCAGCCAATGCGCCTCCGATCGGAAGACCAATCAGAAGACCGACCAATGGGCCAACACTAAGCAGACCGACGTCTCGGGCGCCCCAGAGTAGGGGCGGGGGACTGTATACCACCGAGAGCAAGATAGATACCAGAACGGTCCAGCCAATGGTGAGACCAAAGACCAAAGTTGTGACAATAACCTGGGGCGCGCCTAGAAGTTGAAGAGGCTGGAAGAGGCTTGAGGCGGCGAGCTTCCAGTCCATGTCGACATATGCTGTTGAGAAAGAGCGCAGTCTCCATTGTTTTCCGAGTTCTCTGGGCCCTGGAAAGCCTTGCTGGTTGGCGTTTTCAACTTCGGCGTAGGTAGGGCTCAAGGGCAGACCTTTGGGGTTATCTTCAGTAATAACGGGGTTGAGCTCAACTTCAGCCGTCTTTGGCGAGTCCGCGCGTGTTTCCGGGAGCATGATCAGTGATCCGACAAATGTGATGAAGATCAGGGCCGAGAGGATACGGAAGTACCATCTCCAATCTCCAGTACCATCCGCGACAAGACCGGAAATGATCGGTCCGACAGATGAGCCCGCAGCAAGGAGTCCAACGTAGACAACCATTGCGCTTGCTAATTGCTTGTTTGGGAATGCCTCTTCAACGAAGCTGGGCCCCAATGCCTCAACAAGCCCGCCAGCGAGCCCGCCGAGAATCCTTGAAGTTCGCAGGTCATTGAATGTTGTTGCTTCCCCTGACCAAAGGCAGAAGACAAAGAACATGACGAGCGATATCAGAATCGTGTATCGTTTACCAATGAGAGATGCGGCAGGGAGGGCGAAGATGTTCTAGAGTTGAAGGTAAGTTAGTTCGTGTCTCTCAAGAAACATACATCAAAACGTTGAATGTTCTCATTTTAAATCAGGCTTACCGAGAGGCCAAGAGTCAAAAGCACATAGGTAGAGAGCTGGGAGGCCTCTTCCGAAGTGCAATGAAGCTCTGCAATAATGCGCGAAAACAGCGGAGGAGCGCCTGCAGCAAAGGCATTTCCCAAAAGGTTGTAGAAGCTGACGTTCAGGAGAATCCAGATTCTCCACGAAAGTGGCCATCCCTATCGAGTCGTTAGAGATTAGTCTTCAAAGCCTATGATCTTGTGACATCCTTGAACTCGAGGACACCGGCAACACTTACCAAGACGCTCGACTCCATCGCGGAATCATTCGATGTCGACATGTCTGTTGATTTTGGACGTACGATATGAGTTGATTTTTCAAAGTCTAGTTCGATAATCTAGACAAATGCTTACACGGGTTTTCGCAATTTCCGCTCAACACCGGCTCCGCCTTGTCCTATCTACTCCAGCCCACCCCTTTACAGATCATGTCTTTCATTACAAGACCAACTTTACCAACGCGTAGCGTGCCATTGGTCTAGCGAGTCATTCGGGGAGATAAACCTAAGGGTATGCGTCCGCGGAGAATTGTCATAACCCCGGATACTACCCCGCATCCGCAGCGGCCCGCGTCCATACTGGAGACCGGGTGACGATGGTCTGCTTCCATGATCTCGGGGTCAAGCGGGGGAAGCGGGTCTTGTTAGAGACTCGCCGCGCGCAGTATGAAGCATATATCAAGGACTGACGTTGACTCAGGCTAAGCATTGCGACACAGCCGTGTCTGGCACGTCAGCCGATCGAGTCAGTTGGTCGCTCGTTAGCAAATCCAAACACCACCAAGGCTATGCTGAGCGATGGCACGTTACCAGAAAGCTTGTTAATTATTATGAATCAGTAATAGTTACATTAATTTAAGATCTCATCGTCATGCTTTGCTAGAACACGAGCCTGACAAGTATCAGGATCTCCTATCTCCGCGATGAGGCGGAGTCACAATATTAACATGGCTTGGTTGCAGTATTGAGGTGCTCCTACATTGTGAAGCCCAGAGTCTCAATGGAATCTACCTGTACGTAGCCTGGAACTTCTTTATTCATCCTTTTCCAATCCATCAGCCCCCATCAGCCCCTATCAGTAAGCGGTAAGTAAAAGGGCATCTTAAAGTCAAGATAACTTTATTGAGTCGAATTGGTCGAGGATTCCTAGTAATTGAGGACAAATCGACAAGATTGCAAAAGTTAGACGCTTCTAGCCGCCAAATGGGTTCTTTTCCCTCTTCGCTGAGAACTTGATCCTTTAGCTTATCACGATATAGCAAAGAGAAAGTTAGGCAACGAATTGGGTTTCATCGCAGAGGAATCGATGTGAGGTATGACATAAGGGTTCAGGTAGCAGTTCCTGAACGGCTTCAAGCTTGAATACATGAGTTGACGCTTCTATGGCTTAATGTACCTCTCTTTAATGATAGTAATTCAAACTGACCTCAACCATGTTCAATGATTTCTTGTCTAATGTATTTTACACACCATCAGGTTCATCCTAGTGTCAAGGAACAGATCGATTATTATGTTGAGTATTCTGAGACTTGATGAGGCGTCACATGGTGAGCTAGCAGGCTTGGTAGGGAAAGCTGCTGTGGAGAATATGGAGACTCTGATAAAGAGTATCGAGGATTGGGTGTTAGAAATCTGGTAGGTCGATGGTAATTATGAGTGGTGAAATATGAATGATGGCAGTTTTTCTTGTATCACAATGGGACCAGTTGAGTGTGAGGATTGAAAAGGATCTACTACAGTATGTCCTGCATTTGCTCTCATACAAGAGGCATCTCCCGCTAGGAAGACGCTTCCTTATTTCCTCAGCTGTCCCTAGATGTCCAGGGCTGAAAGTTTGATCATGAGCATCATGAACTTCATCGGAACAGCCTGCCACTTTTGAAATTCTTACGGCTGCTCTAGGCGAGCAGCTTTTCGAGTCTCACACAAGTTGCAGGTCATCCCGAAGAACGCCATGAATGCAGCCAATCAAGTGATGAACGGTCCAAGGCCTTTCCTGGGGTTCTGGGGAAAGTCCAGCTCAAAGCGCCAACGCTAGCCGTGATAACGAAATTTGCAATCACATATGCAATTTGAGTTTTCGTTACGTTTCCTTTCCGCTAAAGTAGAAAATAGCCGGGGGCCCTCTTTCGGGGTTTATCTCGGCTAACCGCTAACGTTAAGAAGAAGCGGGAGCTAGCACGACCGAAGCGGGGCCCGACCGTGTACGTTGAGCGGTGCCGAGATGTGGGGCTCCGGAGGCCACGACTCGGTATCGTGACCGTGTACGTTAGGAAGAGCCGGGTCGGAGTCAAAGAAATGCGCCGGACAAGAAAACTTTGCTGCCGCTAGTTCTCGGGGCCTGGACTGAATCAAGAAGACTATGTCCGTTCTTACGCTGGCCAATTTGGTGTATAAGTAGCCACCTTCCCTCTTTCTTGGGTGAATTTGGGGTTTCTTCCTATCTCATCTGTCTGATCTTTGCCTTTCAAATAGTTGATATCAACCTCAACATTATATGTGCCATAAAAGTATATCAATTTCACATACTCCTCTTTTGTACCATCTACTCAAGACCACGATGTGGTCTGCGGCCTCCACGATGCCTCTCGAGATCAAGATTGACGATCACTACTCGTCCAAGATCTATACCAGCGGCTCTCACATCACAGGCACCGTATCTGTCTGTCCAGACAGCCGCACTCCCTTTCACTGCATCCAAATCGCTCTCATGGGCACCTCTCACACTCGGGTCGACATGCTACCCGTCCCCAAGATCACCACCGACGTGTTCCTCAACCTAGACATGCCCATTACGAAGACATCCTACCCGCAAGGACGGGTCTTTGCGGCAGGAGAAACCCAAACTATCCCATTCAACTTCACCATACCACGAGAACTACACAAAGATGCCTGTGAGGCTGCTTCAGGCGATCACTCCCACGATCAACACATGCGACTGCCTCCATCAATGGGTGGTTGGGGCAAAGACGACATGTCACCCACGATGGCCCAAGTCGAGTACAAGATAGTTGCTCGACTGCTTCGCAAGAGATCCTCCAGCCCAAAAGATACCACTGAGGCCAGTCAGCGGATCATGGTCCTCCCAGCCTTTGCCGAAGACCCACCCCTGAACATCAACAACCACGATGCACGATACACGCTATCCAGGACCAAGTCCGTCCGCAGAAGTCTTCTTTCTACACAGAAGGATCGCATCGTTATCAATGCGCTTCAGCCTGAAGCAGTCTACATCAGCATTGGCGGCCATCAGCTCCCCGACTCTCACGCCTCCGTAACACTGGACCTAAGCTTTGAATCCAACTCCTCATTCTCATTCCCACCGGAAGTCACTCTGGGCCACGTCAAGCTAGACACTCAGACGTGGTTCACAGGAACCCCCATGAAGATGTCGCCCGACCTAGGAAACCCCCGTGAGGCGGCTGGACTGCGCCATGAGCTGCGGTACTCTACCCAAACCAAGCTCCCTACGACAGACACGGGAGTCATCCTATGGCACAAGGACGACCAGGCAGAAAACTGCAAGATGTTCTCCTGGCGATCAAGAACCAAGGTTCCTATCCGCCTCCCTACCGCACATAAGATGTTCCTGCCCACCTTCTTCAACTGTTTCATTGCTCGAAGCTACATCTTGCGCATGTCTGTCAATTTCAACGGCTCCAAGACCAATCTTTCTGTTCCGCTGCAGATTGCGTCGCAGTCGCTCTACCCTCAAGTGATGGAGCCAGAGGTGGAGGACCTGCCATCCTTTGACGCATCTCTTGCTTGGAGATGACGGAGTGTAGCCGAATCTGTCTCTTTTCCTACGTCTACTTGTTATCTTTTCCGAGAATTTTAGGAGGCGCACTCATATCTGCTGGGTGATTGTGCAAGCTCTTCCACGGAAGGCTGCCAAATGATTGGGATGTGGCGTTACACGTGGATGATCAAGGTTGCCTGCTTTGGTATTTGTTTCCCTTCATTATGGATTGGAGGGTTCCCATGTCGGTAGCGACTGGATTGATATTTATCGATCTCTATTAGGTCATTAACTATGTTTAGCCAGAGACCAACCGGCGTATTTGATCCGCGTTGTGTTTTCTTCTCTAGAGTCTCATTATCATTACCACATTTACACCGAAGCCCCATCGTCAAAAGCCTTCTCCTTTTGACTCTGCTTGTTCTTGACACTTCCGGCAGTCCACTGGCGCATCTTCTTGCCCCAGAAGTAGAGAATAGGCAACCCAAGAGATAAGACGATTATTGCCTCCGCATATAGGGCGAATGTTTGAAGGGGTCCTTTCTCGGCGATCCAGACAGTCGCCTTGGAGGCGATGAAGAACGCGACGACAATGCGGAGTGAAGAGACGTTGACGAGTACCGGTCTGCTAGTGTGTCAGCCGTGCACTTCCTTAAGGGTGATCGAAATTGAACATACCCTGCCCATTGCGGGTAGCTCTCGACAATGAAGACATTGAGAATGGTCATGGTTGTCAAAAAGGCAAAGACGATCAAGAAGGAGCCGACCAGTAGAACCGCCCAATGCATGTTCTGCTCACCGGCAGTTCCGAAGACGAAGCAGCCCGCTACTCCCGAAACGAGCGGCAGGATCAAGTTGGCAAGGTGATGCTCCGGCTCTCTGCTTCCGCCCTGCCACCTTGTCACAGCGTTGGAAATTTTGTCAGCTACAGGGCCACCAAAGACGTAGACCAGCGCCGAGGCGGCGAAGAAGGGAAGCACGGTGAGACCGGTCCACTGGAACTGCCATCCTTGGGCGAGGAGGGCAAACGGCGTGATCTGCTGAGCGGCCTGGTTGATGACGATCATGGAACTGTTGGCCAGAACGCCCCAGATGATGGCCGGGAAGTACGTGGATCTGAGGGCATCAAACATGGACTTGGCAGCGCGCTTAAACTCGAAGCCGTTTTGAAAGACACCGATGTTGGTCCACACCGTGCGTGGCGTGTAGTTGACATAATCAAGCTCCGGGCGGTTCTGGCCAGGCAAAAGAGGAACGGTATTCTGACCACCTGTGACGGGTTAGCTGCGCTCGAATATACCCTTTGGGGGTAAGGCGAGACATACTGAGCTCTTCCTGGGAACGAGTCCAGCGAGTCTCAGGCAAGAAGGCAATGAGTATGGCCCAAGCCAAGATACCCATGCCAGAAGTGATGTAGTACAGCCACCTCCAGGTGTAGTTGGCGGATACCCATGGTGCTGCAACACCAAGACCGATGATGATGATCCCCTGACTGGATACTACAGCCGACATGGCCTTGTTTCTCTGGTGGATGAAGACCATATCCTGAACAATCAGAGGAATCAATGCCTCTACCGCACCGGCGCCCAAACCCATGAGTGCTCTGGCAAGCAAGTGCTGTTGCAGGCTCGTACTGAAAGCAGCAAACAAGCCACCAGCCCAAGCACTAGTCGCAGCGAACAAGAGGACCGGTCGACGGCCAATCCAGATGGATGTGGGCACCAGGAAGTAGCTCGCAATACCGTTTGCCAAAAGGGGCATCGTAGCTAGGAGAGCGACTTCATCTAGGGAAGCTGGCTTGACGCCAGGTGGCACGACGGACATGGGATTGATGTTGAGACCGCTGCCGCCACTCTGGGCCTTGAATTCGATGTTGTTGAGGATGCGCGGGTCGACTCCCGAGTACTCGAGGATGAAGACGGGGAGGAGACCACCGATGACGACCTCTGCTGACAGGGCAAGTGCACCGACTGTGAGAACTAGTCAGTCTCTAGCGGCCCTTTGTACGGTCAATGGAACGTCTTACAGAAGCAAAGGGCACCGATTGCTGTCCATTTTCGCCATGCGGGGAGGTTCAGTGGATCTATACATTATTCTCGTATCAATCATCATTGCTCGTTGATATCGAACGGGGTTTCTCAGAACTCACCCTTGGGATCAGCCGTGGGCATCTACACGTTGTCAGGAAAGCCCTTGAATCAAGAGGATATGTCAAACTTACAGGAATCAGCCTCAGCTGCCCGTCCACATAGAGATTTGTCGTACCGACGACCAGCGTCTCGTTCTTCTCACTGACCCCGTCGTCGAACTCGGACACCGACACGGCGGGCGCACGCTTAGGACCAGCCTGCTCATCCTGGAGCGGCCAGCGGTTGTTCGTCGCCATCTTGTCAGTTGTTATGTTTTGCCGTGATGGAGTTAGAGCTGTAGCGCAATCCCACCGCTCCAAGATCCAAGGGTCAAGCTCGTCTTCCCGCCGGATATCAGCGCAGCCTTATACTAGACCTGACATGCCCCCCTGTAGGTGATCGGTAGCAAGGGGAGGGGGATGATGATTTGCAGGTTCGGAACGTCCTCTGGATTCCGAGTTGGGGTTGAATTAGAAGAGTTGGATCTATACCAAACAGGTGAAGGGAAGGAAAGCAGAGAGGGATGGGAAAAGCCGTGCGCTTAGATCTGTAGTAACCCTAGTTGCGTCTGGTCTTGTGTGCTTGTACTCGAATCGGAGACGTGCCTGGACGGATCCGTCGCATCAGGCGAACCGCCAATCGCACGACACCCGCGACGATGATCAACTACGCCAGTGACACTGGAGAGACAGACCCAGACACGAGTGTACGATACTGTCTCTGGGCAAAGTGGGTGTGTGTCTCCCTCCACATCCCGCCCGCCGGGGGCGGAAGAGGCCTCTCCCATGTTCGCCCAAGTTCCCCTTTCTCCCAAGCACGGGCGTGTCATGTTTCCACCTGACAAACGTTCGTCGCCGCGAGACCGGGAGCTAGGATATCGAACCTTGGAAAAAGCCCATGGTCTGTGATGCTGGTGTCTGCTTTCGGCAGTTGAAGAATTTCTGGATCGCCTGATGGGGCGGTTGGGTGGTGCGGGCCGGGGAGCTAGGGCGAGACTAATTCGTCGTCGAAGCAGAAGAGTCCCACGCTTAACACGGTGGGATTTGTCTAGAATATTTGGCATGACACAGCTGCGTCTTGCGCCTTGTAGGGATTGGGACTCTTTGGGTACGGTGGGATAAGGGGGTGTGACTTGGTCTGGGGTTGGAATGCGGCATGCGACGGTTTGATCGACGTTCTCGCGCGCGCGCGAGATAAACCCTTGCCTGTCGTTCTTTGGCGTCTTGAGATTCCTCACGCTTTCCATCATGCCTTACACCTACAAAGTTGCCCCTTGCATCGGGAGACGTTGCGGAACGTATGTAAGTAGACTGCATAGGGCTCCTAGCGTCCAGTCCATGGGGCTGATGTGGAGAGAATCTTAATTCAATCACCCCTTGAGCAATGGCATACAGACGGTCAGTGTCTTTGAAAAGCTCTACCATGATATTGCCCGTAGTGAGGATTTTTAGGAAAGCCAACGTAGGCTCAAGTAAACTCTGTCGGTCTCGACGCGCTCCAATCTTCATCGCATCACAACCGCGCGCGCCAGTCGGCCGGATCAACATCCTCCAAGTCACATTGCATCCAAGACTTCAGACCGTTTCTTTTCTCTTGGAACAAGTTGAGATGAAATGCCACAGAGTACAGAGGAAGGCAAACAAACCTTTCCAGCATGGCAGGAAGTTCATAAGCGACTATACTAAGACGCAGCTAGTGTACTCCATACGGGTCGCGAAGAAAGGTTCTTGACTCAACGCATGAACGCAGCACCACCACCTTGTTACAGACCCCCGGTCCGAGTGCCTCAAGCCAACACAATTTAAGACGTTTGGATCTTCGACAACTTCGCCTCGTTCTTTTCTTGATCCGGCGCACGGATGGCGATGCAACGATACGCCGGATTTGATACATCTCAACGTCCCAATCACAGAGTGGACATCCTCAAAAGCTGCAAAATTGCGTTGCACACACAGAACCTAAGTCAATATCACCACGGCAATATTCCAACCTGCCAAGAAGGTTACAATCCTGAGGATTTGACGGGGAGAGTTGACGACGACTACGACCACGATCGGCGGGTGACAAACTCGCATCAGCTCATATCCAACCCCCCCCGTACTGTTGTATTACACTACCTTTCGTCTGAATTACATTGACTGGTTTGTCTGGTCTCTGGGCTTGGCCCTCCTCCACCATGACTTCATGCCGGCGTTACACGTTTCGGTTTACCAATGAAGCAGGTATTGGCACACTCTAGCCTCCACGCCTCTAGGTAGTCTCTCCTGTACAGACCTGTTTCTCTGCCAAGCCCACCGAACGGCCGAAGCCCTTTTGTCTGAGGCTCTGAGCTGGGTGCCCCCATCGTGATCGTCGCCGGTCGGCGCTCCATGTGTCGAGTCTGATGTTTTCTTCAGATGATACCTATCCGTCGGCTCATCCGTTGTGCGTCCTCTACTCCTCGCCGTCCACTTTCCGGTGCGGCGACCCGGCTTGCTGGCTTTGCCTGGGCACCGCGTGTCCACTTGTGACGGGCCAAGGGCAGCTTACGAATCTACATGTACGGAATCAAGTGATCGTCGAGAAGACCACTTGAACAGCAACCCTGAGGTTTGAATTCATGTTTCGCAGAGAAATCCATCGGCCCAATACAACGTGGAAACTTTTTCAACTGCAGTTGCAATCGGATCAGCTTTGGCCGAACTCTTATTAAGCGGCGTTCCCTCATGCGATATTCCGCGATTATCATCTCTGCAAGTATTTGACATGGAGTCTGATAGTGACTCTCGACATATGCCACGTTGTTGGAGTAATGGCTCCCACAATGGCTTGGCCGAAGCTCGCGATATCCCATGAGCCATGGCGAGGTACTAGAAGCGAAGGCTTGTTCGAATTTTGCTTCCAAAAGCCAATCCTTTGGTCAAATCTAGAATACATTGGTCATTCGAGTTTTACCAACTTATAATCGGCCGTCCAAGTCCCATCTATTAGTAAGACTGTTGTGCTGTATATCACTCTGGTCCGTCATCAGAAAGCCCAAAACATAACGCCATGCTTAGCCCCATTGTCCCTTTACACACGATCTGACTCGCTTCTCGAGACGCAACAGCACTATCCAGCCAGAAATCGTACGCATCTGAAGCCGCTTTAGTTGTCGCTCGCACCCAAGACCCTCGCAAGCAGTACGTAGAAGAATACGACACCGCCGGCGACGAGCAGCTTGTTCTGATTCAGCCAGCCCCGGCCGGCATCTCGTTGTTGCACAACAGCATCGACGACAGCCTGGGCTTGGTGGCCACTTCCATTCCCGATGCCAAGTTGGGGCCCGCAGGAGGCCCCTGCTGCCGCTCCCGTCCTGTTACCTGTCGCCAAGTCAATCTTGGTCTCCTTCATCCACTCCCAGTTGGCCGTGTCGACTTCGGGCCATTCGGCTCGAAACTTTGCGCCGCCGTCACCGGCCTTGACGTTGCCCTTCGTTGCCACATTCGATTTTGCGTGGGATCCTCCGCCTGTTGAGTTCCACCACTTTGTTCGTGCTGCCAACATCTTTCTTTCGACTTCTGTGCTAGATACGGAACCGGTCGTCATTTCTTCGCTGGTCATGAAGGAAAGCAAGCCTATCAGAATGGTGGACACCTCCCAGGCAGGGTTGAAGGACTTGGGATGGAAGTCGGAGATGGACAGGCAGAGGCGCGTAGATGGCTGAAAGCGACCGGAAGGAGTGTGCATTCGAATAGCTGGGGGCGCGAAAGGGTAATTCGGGGGGAAGACCAGAGTTCCCCAGTACTGGCCGCCATGGTACGGTGTGTTTTCGGGACCGGTGATGATATAGTGCCATCTGTCTACCTGTTAGCATGGATATCTGACATGGATGCGATGGACGACTACACACTCGAGAATGTTGGATTCAGAGGGGTGTGCCTCGATGTATGGTGGCGGGTTCTCGGCGATAGTCTTGTACTCGCGAGTCAACTGTGTAAGAGTTAGTCGAATGCATCTCATGGAAATGATATGCCAGTGCATCTTACCCTCTTCTGTGCGGCTCTACTGGCAGCCATGGTTGCTGAGGATTGCCGACGAGATGCTGTGGTATCGGGATCGACGGTGGGCGGCGAACGACGTAATGGGGAGCACGATCAGTGAACGGTGGCGGGTGGCCGGTCGAGAGAGAGCGAAGAGAATGATATGGGTAATGTACAGAAGATGGAAATTGAAACGACTGAATACACGCAGTTGGATGCAGATGTACTGCTCTCTTTCAACTGTTGGTTTGTATGGTGTTGGGGTTGTTGTTGATATAGGATGAGCGAATGGGTAACGGAGATGGAATGCGGCGAGGCTGTGACAAGTGCCGCCAGTGCGTTGTCCACTCAAGGTGCTTTTGGGGGGGGGGGCTTGAGGGGCCTTCGGGGTGCGTCAAAACGCAAAAGACACAGAGACGGAAAAAGGTACGTATCTCCGGTGTCCGGTGAGTCCACGCCGAAGAGGCGCCACAGAATTATGTCACTGGTCGAAGTAGTGGATCTCCACCAGCCACATATAACACCCTGTGCCTCGGAATTTCCACCAATTTCCATTGGATAAGTGGCCGCTTGATGTGTGGCTGGAGAGCAGTGAGTACGTACCTATCTCAGTGGACAGAGCTTCCAGAATGTGGCTGGAGCTTCTTCTCCCGAGTGCCCCAGAAGCCCCACCGAGAGTGACCTCGTCCCGATCCGTTCCCTTGCGCCCGTGCTGCATCTCGAAATTCAACCGAAGCTCTCCGGCTTGTGTGATTTTTGTCTTGTCCACCCACTTACAAGCTGCAACGTTGAGCTCACGTCTGTCACAACTCTCACCAAGGCTCCAATGGCTTCCAAGACCAGTGCGAGCGGAAGCTCTGTATAGTCTCCCTTGTCAATCGTCTCTAAACCCTCCAACGAAAGCTAATGGAACCCGCGCTTTTCTTAGGCTTCCAACCCGATTGGCAAGCTCCAGGCCGGGCCCGATGCCTTGCGCAAGGAGGCAGAATCCTCAGCCGAGTTCGAGAAGCTCCAGGAAGAGGCCAAAATCAGAAGGCTGCAACAATTGGCACGCTCTTACCCTTCTCTCGCTCAACGGTCCCTGACCTTGCTAATGCGCGCAGTAGCTCTCCGACCAGAACTCGCAGCCCATGACCATCAACCGCTTGCAGGTTCACGGCGCTACCAACACCCGAAGAGGCTTCCTCGACCCTATCTTCACCCCGCTCTTGACCGAGGATGTCAACAGCTCCTCCACGCTTGGCGAAGTAGCGGCGCGGTTGGGCGACGCCAGAGGAAAGCTGGAGAGACTCGGTATGGGCAGCATCCGCCTTTGGAAGAGACATTATGGTCTAACGCTTACTCATAGGCATCTTCCACCCCGATGTCAAGGTCCACCTTAGCAACGCCAACAACACCGATGCTTCGTCCACTCCGACCGACGTCGACGTCGATGTCGTCGTCAAAGAGCTCTCCCGCTACAAGTTCAACGCCGGAACCGATGTCGGAAACAGCGAAGGCTCCGCTTATACCTCCTTGCTCTGGCGCAACATCTTTGGCGGTGCGGAGCAGCTTACTGTCAATGCCAGTGCTGGCACAAGAACCCGTTCCGCATACAGCGCGACCTTGAGCGCACCCGTCCAAAGCAACCCCGATACGAGAATCGCACTCGAGGGCCTCGCTTCCGCCACCGATAAATCCTGGGCAGCACACGAGGAGGTTCTGAAGGGAGGAAACCTGCGCTTCTCATGGCTTTCTGGCCTCAAGGACATGCACACGGTTGAATATTCCGGCATTTGGCGTCAAGTCACTGGCCTCCGCGACAGTGCCAGTCCCACTGTCCGTGCCGATGCCGGAGACTCCGTAAAGAGCTCCATCAAGCACACATACCAGAGAGACGAGAGAGATAACCCGCAGCTTCCGCAAAGCGGCTACGTACTCAAGTCCGTTTGGGAGCTGGCTGGTCTCGGCCCCCTAGGCGGTGACGTCGCCTTCTCCAAGAGCGAATGGGAGGTGGGTGGTGCGCTGCCCGTCCCTGTTCCTGGCGTGGAGGGACCATCTGGAATCTCGATTGGTGGTGGATTGAGGTTCGGTATGCTGTACCCGCTTCCTCTTGGCTTTGCCTCCGAAGGCAAGTCCCAGCCGAGCCGCATAAACGACAGATTCCAGCTCGGCGGGCCCACCGACGTCCGTGGTTTCCACTATGGAGGTCTTGGACCCCACGACGGATCCGATTCAGTCGGAGGAGACGTCTTCGCAGCTGGCAGTGTGAACATGCTGTTTCCTCTGCCTTACAAGGGCCCCGACTCCTCTCTCCGCTTCCAAGTGTTTGCCAACGGCGGCAGATTAGTCGCGATGAAGAACAAGGGCAAGACTGGTGCTTCAGCCACCGAGGGCCTCGACGCTAGAAGTGTCGCAGGCAGCGCGTGGAGAGCGTTGAGTGACCTGACGACTGGTCTGCCATCAACAGCCGCTGGTGTCGGTCTGGTCTACGCTCATCCTGTCGCTCGTTTCGAGCTCAACTTCAGTCTCCCGTTGGTGCTGAGACGCGGCGAGCAGGGCACCAAGGGACTGCAGGTTGGGGTCGGCATCAACTTCTTGTAAAGGCCTCATTTCCGACGTACGGATAAAGTTCACGTGCCGGCATACAGCACAGCCTAGCCAGGCCACATTGTACAACAAAATCACTGTAGATACTCTCTAATTGGAAGATTACAACATGAAACTACCGACCGAGTTCCCGAATACTTCGGGACCGGGTCATTCATCCCACACAACGTCCGTCCGTCGCGCGATGCCTATCCCTTCCTGCGGGTCTTACCACGGTCCCTAATAGCTTATTCAGCGCAAACCTGGGATTCTATAGTCGGCCTCCGATCGCCGGGACTCTTCCGTCTCACAAGGATGCGTGGAACTTGGAAGCCATCGTGGCATTGTTGCAGCGTCGGCATAAGGGTTCCAATAGTCAATCGGCACGAAATCCTTCCAGAATATCCCATTCGCTGGATTTCGGCCTCCGGGTGGTCGACTGCAGGGGTAGGACATCAGCTCCAGGATAGGAAGTTGAGCCAGCGCAGAAGCGACCTCAAAGTCTACGGGCGATGTAACGTATAGTTCCCCCTCACCGCAGCTCTGCTGCCCTCGTGTAAAATGTGCGGCTGGTTTGTTGGGGGCTGGGCAGGGTAATCACAGCATTCTGGATGTTTTCTCCGTTGGTTCCAAATTACACCGTTCAGGGGAACGATGTTCTTTGGTGCTGATTAAACCCTGCTGACAAGTGCATCCCACGCGATATATAGGTTGTCGATTCCAACCTTGGCGGATTCCATGACTCGTTGGTCACTGTACGAGCCAGGTCCCTGGATATAGGCTGCATGTAAGACGGCATCAATGACACCACCTGGATGATACAAATAAGAACATGTCGTCTGCTGCCAAAGGCTAGGGTGCTGCACCTCCGCCACCTTCGACGTTCTCAAGTCATCAAGTACAATGCGGCTCCTCTCCTCTCTGTCGCTTCTCGTCTCGGTGGTTTCCGCCCTCACCGTGAGAGTCCCATCCGTTGCAGAGGACTTGAAGACGCTCGTAGCAGCATCGTCGTCAGTAGCTGTTGACCTCCGTGCGAGATGGAGTACATACCATGCTCCCATCCCGTCTATCGTGGTGAATGTGACGACGGAGAAGGATGTTGGTGCAGTTGTGAGTTTTCCCATCAAACGTCGCATCATGAGCTATGTTCCCTGATTTTTGTACCAGGTCAAATACTGTGCGAGCCGTAAGATACCTTTTACAGCTCAGAACGGCGGTAACGGCTGGGGCAAGACTTTCAACCTCGGCAATAACGGAGTCATCATTAACTTGGCTGGTCTGAATGCCGTCACTTTCAGCAAGACGAAGACGGAAGCCACTATCGGAGGCGGGGCCATCATTGGCGACACAATCAAAGCAGCCAATGCTGCGGGTGTATTGGTCCAGACGGGCAACTGCAACTGTGTTGGTGCCCTTGGTGCCATCCTGGGAGGCGGTTACGGTTAGTGCACGCACGACATTGACATAACAAGACAGACCTTGAACTAACAGCATGACAGGGAATCAAATGGGAGAAGTCGGCTTTGGCGTTGACAATGTGCTCTCCATGCGCGTCGCAGTCGCGAGCGGAGAGATCCTTACGGCCTCGCCGACCTCCAATCCAGACCTCTTCTGGGCCCTCCGCGGCGCCGGACCCAACTTTGGCATCGTCATCTCGGCGACGGTCAAGGCGCGGCCCATGCCGACCGAAGGCCGCAACGCCTGGCTCATGAATCTCTTCTTCTCGCCGGACAAGCTCCCGCAAGTCGCCCAAGCCATCCAAGACCTGCCCCTGAAACCGGAGCAAGTCGTCTACCTCGTCCTCACCAACTCGGGACCACCATCTAATGCCCCCGCCGTCCTCGTCACCGGGTTCCTGCGTCAAGGCAACGATGTGACTGGACGTGCGGCGTTCGCGCCGCTGTATAAGCTCGGCCCGATCTCGAACAGCAGCAGCGTGGCCGGGTACGAAGGCTGGAACGCGGGCAACGACAACTTTTGCGCGCGCGAGGAGCGCAAGCCGGCGTATAGCACGACCATCAACCACATGCAGCCCGAGACGTGGCCGGCGATATGGGACCTGTACACGAAATTTCAAGCCAAGGGGCCCAACTCGGCTGTGCTGATTGAGCGGTATAACCTGACCAAGGCGCAGTCTGTACCCAAGGGGTCTGCGGCGCTGCAGGAGGCGTTGAGGAGGGACGCGTTTGCGCAGGCGATTGTGATTCCTTGGTACACTGATGCTTCGCTGGACAGTGAGGCGGAGGCGTTTGCGAGCAAGGTGAGGGATATTTGGAGTTATTCGCCGAGCGCGGTGGCTAATCCGACGTATGTCAACTTTGCGCATGGCGATGAGACGCCTGAGGCGGTGTATGGGTCGAGTTTGGCGAGATTGAGGGAGCTGAAGAAGAAATGGGATCCTTTGGGGGCTTTCAATCAGTGGTTTCCAGTCGGGGCATGAAGTATTGGTTCGTCACGACTTTGATCCAAACCTTTGAATGGTATAGCTATGGTCTCTGGGTAAAGTCGCGCCCTGTCCATTGGCGTTCATCCGACTCTAGTATATCGAGTTGCCAAATCTCATGACTCTAGCTTCTGGACCTTAATGGCCAGGGCCAACGTCCCGATAGCGGCATGTTAACGAGGACGGTGTTTAGTGATGGCGGTTGGTTGGAACATCGGACGTGACATTTCTGGGCTATCCTTGAATACTCGGACAAGGAACCACGGGCATCATCGGATAGCCGGGCATCGCGAACCTGAGGTGCATGATTGTATTCCATCCCTATGAGAAGACGCCGATTCCAAGACCACATACTTCCGATACATTGATCAGTGGCATCTCCCCTAGTTTTTCAAGAATAAGGCGTATCCCTTTCTCCTACATCGTTTTCTCAATTCAATCATATCACTATTCTGAACCAAGTAGCCGATGCTAGGTCTGTGTGTAGAGCCAATACTTTCCGTGGAAGGCGCAAATGAGTGCAGTGAATGTGGACTTTAAGGATTACGAACAGTAGCGGATCCGAGTCCGGGCTCCATTTGGAAAGTGCGGCCCCACCTCGGCTCCGGATGTATATGCGCCGGACCAGTAGCCTGGGACTCGATCATAAATCGGACGGGACCTGGATCGGTTTCTTGTCAGATAAATAAGATCCCAGCAGCGGATGGAGGGGTCTGGATTTAAGTGGCCCAGTGTCTCGGACAAAGCAGTCGGTGGTCTGACGTCGTTAGGGAAGCATTGATGACATAATCTATAGTTGTACTCCGTACCTTGATCACCTTAAGGTAGACGAAGTGCGCCCGGAGATGAGGTAGCTTCAACGGTAGTGCACCGGCGGACCTGGTGGCTTGGGATTCAGGAGCCTATTTCCGTGGCCACCACGGGCCTGAACGCAAAGGAAGCTCGGTCGGTCGGCTGATTAGAGCCTCAGAGGTGCATCCGCTAGGGATGGCGTTGAATCTTTTGTCAGATTGTGGTGTGACTTGCAGCGCACCAACTGTCAAAGACCCGGAGCTAAAGGAAAAGTGATGATGGTGGTTTGTTTGTCAGGGCATAGGCATGAGAGAAGAGGATGCAAACAAAACAACAAACAGATCTTGCCATGTCAATGATTCCTTTAAGGGACGGCTTCCTGCATCCCTTGGTCCCTTTGCTAGGTAGATACGAATTACAACAAGACCTATTCCCTTGTACATTGTCTACGCATTATCAGGAGAAAGGGGATGGGTAATGTAGGCTCATCTCTTGATTCTTTGACTCGGGCAATCAACGGTTCCTCCGGATAGGGACCAAGATGAATTGGCCCGAGGTGAGCTTCCCCTTCACCTTCTGAGGTGACTATGTACGCAGTACGCAGTACCAAGGTACCTTAAGGTGAGGAACCTTCCAATCGGTCGGTACGTGCCTTTATAGTGGGCCGTGGCTATAGCTCTCCAGAGCCAGACGATCTTGGGCCAATTAGATCGAAGTTGGAAGCTCCAAGTTCGGAGTACGTACCGGGAAGATTGAACCGCTTTTTATTTTTTTTCCTCCCGGTCTTCCCTCAGGCTCCTGCGGGGGTAAAATTTTGTGACGCAGCCCCGGTTTTTGTCATCATCGGATTTTTTTATTTTTATTTTTCGGTCTCTTTTTTTTTTTTTTTTTTCTTGCCTGACCCATGCACCGGCCCATGATCTGTGAGTGAGTGAGTGAGTGCTCCCTGAACCAGCTTCGATATCTCGCCGGGTAGGAGCAGGAAGCACCAACTCCAGCTGCAGTTCTTTCCTTGGCCTGGGTGGATGCCTATCTGCGTACAGGAAGGAAGGTACAGATACTTGATGCCTCAGTGACTTCCATTTACGTGACCAACGTCCCAAGACCTTAAAATAAAAACAGAAACGGTCAAGCCAGGCAGGGACGGAAGCTTCCTCTTGCTCTTGCTCTTGCTCGCACCTTCCTTCTTCCCGTCTTATTAATCGCTGGCTCTTGGACGTTTATTTTCCACCTCCACCTCCACCAACAACACCCAAGTGCCTTAACCTGTGACCCAACATTCAAACACCCCGTCATCCAAAGGGCCAAGAACGTCAAGACCCAAACGGCCCGTCTTCTTGTCTTCTGCTTCTTCTTCTGCTTCTTCTCCTTCTGCTGCTTCTTCTTCTTCCTCTTTCTACCCCTTGATCCTTTGCTCCTCCACTTTCTTCTGCTTGACATCCCATTGTCACGCCTCTTTCACCACGCTTGGGAGACCCTCCACTCCACTCCCTCACGTCTCCCCTCTCCTCATCTGTTTGTACGGATACCTTGACCTTGCCTTACCTCATCACGCAGCAGAACCGCCTGAAGCTGCTCGCTGATCTGTTCTGTCGTGCCTCGCTTTGGCATAACTCCCTCCCACTTCTCTTCTTTTCCCTCATTGCATCTCGCTATTTTGCTTCTTGCTTCCTCCTGCATTCGCCGTCTGGAGACATTGGTGGCACGCATCAGCACCCGCATATCCCCTCTATCATGCGCAGCCCACACAAAAAGAGTCACTAGCTCTGCTTGACAGTTACCTTGCCCCCCCCCTTCCCCCTTCCAAGGCCACACCACAACACAACTTACAATTTGCGACTGTTCCATCCAGCTCGACCGCCTTTCTTTCTCCCTCAGAGATATCCACTTTCTCGTCGGAGTAGTGTAGTCTACTCTGCGGAGAGACCGCCCTGAGTCTGAGCCTTCCAAGTATTGCCGCTATCGCCGAACCGACAACAGCTGCTACCGCCTACCGCCAACAACCCCCGGCTCCTACTCCTCGTGTGGCCCCGGCACACACAGCAGCCCATCCACTTTCAATCTTGGGGCCCGGTCCGCCAAGTCAAAGACCGCTTCTCCTTGCGCTGCGAGCTCAACAGCACCCTTCCAACATCACCACCACACAACCCTCCCGCCTAGCCTCGCCCACCATGGCTCCCAACGGCAATCCGAAGGCGAGGAACGGTGCCGGTGTCGCCCATGGAAGGCCCAACGCTGCAAGGCGTGTGGTTCCCGTCATTCCCCTCCCCATGGACCGTCGCGTCAAGGCCAATGCTGCTGCAAAGCAGGCCGCCGCTGCTGCCCAAGCCGCCACTATTGCGACCATTCCTCGACCCGCCATCACGAACGGCTCTTCCTTGAAAATTCAGCACGACGTCGACTCCGCCCCCAGCACGCCCAAGACCATCGATATCGAGATTGCCACACACGAAAACGACAAGGGACAGCCCGTTGCTGCTACCAATGGTGCTGAGGAGACGCCTTCGCCTGCCGACCCGGAAGTCGATGACACAAAGGATCGCGAAGGTATGCAGGAATTTTTTGCCAGGTTTCAACGCATTCGGAGAACATCTCACTCACTCTTCTCTACTAGCTACCGATTCCCAGGAGTCTTCTGCCGCCATCCCGACCCCGTCCACGACCGAAGAGTCCGAATCGACCGACAAGACCGCCGACCAAGACCTCCCCCGCTCTGCTGAAGAGCCTGTTCGAGGTATGCCCGCTCTTGGCACTTGCAACTCTGGTCGCCACTACTCACACACCGCAGGTAATAATCACGTCGCCTCTCCGCCCGCGGTGGCCCAATTTGGTAAGAAGGGTAGGGACCTTCAATCTCGCGATATCCTCACGCCGCGAAGGTCTAATCACCATGCTACAGACAATACGCACCAGCAGCATCCGTCGACATTCCGACCCCCTCCCGTCATCCCTCCGACGCGTTACAACATGCCGCCTAATCCTCACAATGGCTCGCGCCCTTCTCCCGTCGTCATTAACGGTACCTCTCACCGGGGCCCCCGATCAGTTCACAACGGTCCTCCACACATGCATGGCCCGCGTCCCAGCAATGGGAGCCTTCAGTTTGGAGGTTTCGCGTCCAACTCGTCTTCTCCGGCGCCCCCTCACTCTGGAGGCTTCATGCCCCCTCCTGGCATGCCTCTCCCCGACGGACGATCCTTCAGCGGTGCTGCCAACGGTTTTCACCGCCAGATGCCCTACGGTACGGAATTTGTTCCCGGCACCGGTGTAGATGGATTCGGCCGACCTGTTCCAGGCTATGGAGGCATGGAGCAGTACCCTCCTCATCTCAACGGTGGCTACGGACCTTCGACTCCTCATAGTTTCCAGGGGTCGCACTCTTCGGCCCATGCGGATGATACTGGTGCCTACAACCACTACCCCGCGCCAGGCGTCCCCAACGGTACGACACATGTCGATGACGGTCGCCCTCACCCTCCTGCGGCTGGAGCTTTTGGTGCACCGCCCCAGCGAATGATGCCTGGGCCTATTCCGCCCCCGCATATGATGCATCCCGGCCACGAGCACCAGGGACTGGACGACATGGCCGCCTATCTGCGATCGCAGTTTAGAGACCCTGCCTTTGCCGACTGCACCCTGGAGCTTCGCTATCTCGACGACCGCGCTCCTCCCGTTCGCCTACCAGGTCACCGCCTGGTTCTTGCCAGAAGCCAAGCCGTTCGCAATGTTCTAGAGGCTGATAACGTCGAATCCAGCTCGCCCGGCGCTAACCGCACCATTCTTCTGCAGTCCGATGATAAGTACCTCCGATCTGATGCCTTCTGGATGGCCGTGCAGCACCTGTACGCCTTTCCGCTATTGGACATGCCTGAGCCAGCCTCGAATGGCAATTTCACCATGGCTGGCAACGCCGATGACCGCTTCGACTTTGCCCTTGGCTATGCTGCCGCCGGTCATATCCTGGCGTGGCAGCCTATTGTTTTCCGTGGCCTGGAGATAGCGTCTCATTCCCTTAGCTGGTCGACGATTGAGCGCGCTCTTGGCTTCGCCCTCGGCGATTTGCCTAGTCGCGCTTCAGCTGACAGACACAGCCAGTTCATTTATGGCGAACCTGTTCACGTTTTGATGAACGGCATCATCTCATTCATCATCAACAACTTCCCACCCGATTTCACCCTGGACACGTCTGTCGCCGATCCTGAGCGCTTTGCCCGACTTCCTATTGCTTCCACATCGATACCACCCCGCGAAGGAACACCCACGATTGCTCGCGGAACGGCGGGCCAAGATCGTCGCCCTCGCCCCATGCACATCCAGTTCGGTGACCTCGCTTTGGGCCCTGACAACACATCAAACGGCTCGGATTCGACCTCACAATCCTCTCAGCACAATAGCATCCGGTCGACGCTCTCAGCCATTCTTATCAACCTCCCGTTTGCGTACTTGAAGCCAGCCCTCGAGTCCAGTGGCTATGGTAATGTCAATGGATGGGCGAACGTCGAGGCTCGGCATCACATCATGCGGGCCGTCGTTTCTGAGCGGGAGAATAGACGGTCGAGAGTGATTGAGGCGGTCAGATCTGGAGCGGTTCCGCATGCCGAGTCCATCTTGTATAGCCTGCAGAGTGCCGATCCTCGTCAGAATGAGGAGTGGCATGCCCTTGGCTGGCGCGAGGATGTGGTCTCGTACGTTAACGGCGACGCGCCGTCTCTCGGCCGGCAGTGGGTTCCGTTGATGGCGCCGCAGCAGCAAAACGGCACCGGACATGTGGAGGTTACCAGCCGAGCGGCCTACCCTTGAGATGGTGCAATCTCGCAGCTGGGATTATGATGTTACGACACGGGAACTAAAAACACCAACAAGCAGTGGATGACCCGCAATGGACTGCAATCGCATTTGCATGATGGAGTACAAAAAGCGGCAGCAATTCCTTTTTTTAGGTTCAGGGCGAAGGTTTCGGCATTGCATATGGTGTTGGCAGTTTTCACTTTTTTGTCTTTTTCGGCAATGGAGCCAGAACATAAAAGCTTTGGGAAGCGCGCGGGCGGTCTCGCTCAGCGCCTTGTTTTTGCTGGTAATGGGCGTTTACTGCGCCAGTTTCCTTTGTATGCGCATGCAAACAATCTGACGAGGACTGGCCTTGGTGGAGGCTCATCCCTTTCTGATGCTGGTCGATTCCTTAGGGGATGGCTTGACAGAAAGGGAAGGGCGTTTGGATGAGGATAGACGAAGGAATTCTGGAAAGATTCTTGAGCTACCCTAATTCAGGCAGGAAGGATATCCTCAATCTACCGAGCCAGCCACGAATGACGATGGCATATGACGATATGAGGGGAACCAAAAAAATATGGCGAGGGAGGGACAAAAGTTCAGGCCAGGATATGGCTGCCGGCTGTGGGGATGAAGGATACCCAGGTTGAGTGAGATGAGAACGGCTACTCTGGTTTTGCCGAGGAAGTAAAAGGCAGGGAGGAGGAGAATGGCAGGGCATGAGACGTGTGTTTTTAGCAAGGGAATGAATGGCTCGCGAGGCCGTAAGTGCGTGCATTGCGAAAATGGTAGTCATTGAAGATTGACAAAGACGAAGTATAATGTGATGATGAGGGACTCACTATGAGACTCAGTGAGCCTCTCGCTGTGAGATGTGAGTGAGATGGAGGTGAGGGAAACGGTCATGTCCACCTCAGGTGCCTCGGCTAACGTATCTTGAGATGCCTACCCACCTTATGAGCTGTGAGATGGGGTATGACCACAAAGGCGACACAAGACTAGACTTGTTTGGCCAATGCAACGCCAGCAGCAATAGTCAACACGAAAAAAGTCAACAAGATGAAAAAGACGAAAAACCAAGACGCGACTTGTGCTACGTTTGTGAGAGTGGATGATGTGATGCATGAAGTAGTCATTAAACTCGGGGTGTCTGCAAGTGACGAGTGTGGGGGAGTCCCCTGCTGCGGGGGGGGACGCCGTGGACGCCTAGGGAATTAGTTGGGTTGCATGGGCCTATGGGAGGCACCCGTTTCCGTTTGTTTCTGCCCCTACGGATACTGGACCCCGGAAAGGTAAGGAACTATTCACTGTACTGTAGGGATTGAGGTGGGATAGTTCCAGGTTGGGCCTGAGAGCCGAGGCATGTGCTTTTGGAGCTTTCGGCCGCCCAAGGAAATGTTTCCCGTGACACTCTCTGACGGTTCCCCCCCGGACGGAACCTTGGGTGTTTGGCTCGAGGGGTTCCAGGTTGCTCCGTCCAGTCCAGTCCGTTCCGTACCGTTCACAATCCTTCCTCCCACCATAACCACGCGCAGCAGCAACCATTTGGGACTTGCTTTTTCCCATTGCTGTTGCTTTTTGCCTTTCTGCGCTCTACACCATTTTAACTTCTTGCTTCTTCTTTCTCGCCTCACCTTCAACAGCTGCTGTTCTAACTTAATTGCGTCTTTCCACGACTCGCGCGCGTAACCCTTCCCCTTTACCTCTGATACCACGACTACCTTACAGTACGTTCGTCATTGAAGCCATCACCGTGCACACGCACTTGGGCGATTGGCAGTCTGCCCAAGGTCTCGGCTTTGGCACGTGCTAACCAAGAGCTACTCCAGTTCGGACCAAGCACATTTTCCAACCACCAACCACCGAGGAACACACATCACCCATCACACATAAACATAAGCAAGCACGCACTATTCGTACGACCACGATACTAGAACGACTACACCCTCTCCAAGGCCTCGATTCAAGTAACCGACACAAGTCTCTGCTGGCGTCGCTCACCTCTCCCTTCAGGCGCCTCATCGCAGCCACTCACCACCACCATCCCATCTCGCGATAATGGCCTCTGCCGCGACCTCGTCGTCGCGGCCAGGCCCGACAGCAGCCTCCCGTCCCTCGCAAACATCGAGCCCCAGGCCCTCCGCAGGCGGCCCTTCCTCTCGGCCGCCGCCCTCGCGCAATAGCATTACCGATCCTATTCTCCGAAACACCCTGCGATACACAATCTCCGCCAAGGAGTATGCCACCCTACATAAGTACGTCTTGTCGCGCTCGCGGCTGCTGAAGAGGGCTGCGCCGAGCGTCACCGCTGTCGAGCGCATCGTCGATGGTGACAAGGCCGCTGTCACAAGGCAAGGAAATGCTGCTCCCGCTGCTCCCGCTGGTGCTGGGGCTGGTGCTGGGAGAGCTGTTGACGATTACAATGCCCGCGCCGTGCGGCATTCGCTTCGCGTATTCTTGGGGACAGCCATGGCGTTGAAGGGTTGGGCTCTCATTTCTACCAAATTCCTGGGCGGAAAGCCAGAGTAAGTTGCCACTCCGATCAATCAAACAGGCGAGAAAGACGGTATGCTGACGATGCGCCTTGCACACTTCCAGTCCTAATGCCAAAAAGCAACCCCTCCACAAGTCACCAACCCTCCGACTCTCCCTCTCGCTTTCAGCTATCCTCCTTCTCTACCGCATCCTCTTCCGTTTCCTCAACCGCCTACGAGCGCACCTACTCGACCCATCAGCGGCGCCCTTCCGCCAGCGCAACCCGCGCACAACTGCGACCTTGACGTCCCCCTTCGCTCCGGCCATTGGCGCGTCTCTCGCTGGCGCATTCCTCGGCGTGTACCCCGCCCAGCAGTTGCGCGTCACCATTGCCATTTACACCTTGTTCAGAGCCCTCGAATTCGGCTGGAATCTGTGTGAAGAGGAGGGCATGATTTGGGGCTTCAAGAACGGTGGAAAGGTCAAGAGGGAGAGACCCTGGTGGTGGGGCAGCTGGCTCATCCAGCCCTTTGCCTTTGGACAACTGCTTCATGCTGTAGTCTTTGACCGGGATTGCTTCCCTGAGGTAAGGAATGCTGATGATCTTTGTAGTTGGGAAATGCTGACCCCTGACCAGTCATACGGAAACTTCATTTTCAAAAATTCAACAGCGTACATTCACCCCAGGCCAAACGACTACCCATCTCATCTCAAGTGGCCCAAGGCCATGGAGATTGTCGACAACCTTGCCCAGATGGCAAAGCTGAACTGGCCGTGAGTCTCCCTGAATCTTTCCATAAAACCGCCTTTTCTAACAACAGCAGACCCTTTGTATCACCAACTCTGTTCCCGAACAAGGAAACACTGCCACCAACGCTCAGCGCCGTTGCGCCTCTCACTTCATCAGCGCATCCCATCATCACTTCGCTATCATGCGCTACTCTTCATCCGTCCGACCCATCTTGCCTTCGGACGTACCTCAACTTCTGGCTCGGTTCTTTCCCCGGCCTCACCAAATTCTTCCTGGTCATTTACTCCGTCATGACCTTTGTTCCGCGGTTCCGCTCGCTGTATAACGCTCCCGTCACGACATTGCAGCGCGTTATTGCCAAGTCGTTGCGGATGAGCACCTTCTTGACCGGTGCCATCTCCACTGCCTGGGCCAGCATTTGCTTCTTCCAACAGTGGTTCCCTCGCACATTCCTGCCAACTCAGAGGTTCTTCTTTGGAGGCTTCCTCGCCGGTCTGTGGGCGTGGGTGGAGCGCAAGAGCGGACGTGGTGTCTTCTTGTACTCAGCCCGCGTGAGCGTCGACTCTCTGTGGAAGGTCGGCGTCAAGAGAAGGTGGTGGAAGGCCATGAAGGGCGGAGACGTGTGGGTCTTTGTCATGGCGCTGATGCTGACCGGTGTTGTCTACGAAAGAGACGCGAGGGCTGTCAAGGAGGGCAGCTGGAGAAAGGGCATCAGCTGGGTCCGGGGCGAGGGCTTCAAGGACTGGAGCATCGAAGAGGAGTCTGAGGACGAGACCCTGTTGGAGAAGACCGACTAGAGTGCGGTGAGCGATTTTGCCCTGCCGTCGACGCCGCCTACGCCTTCTGGCTCGCCAGAGCATTTGGCCACGAAGTATCGAACAACCCTTCAGATGTGGGTGGAGGGGATGACGCGTGATTTTGAGTCGGACATCAAGCCTCCGATCTATTCTTCGCCTTCGACGGTCTCGAGGAGCGAACTAAGTATAATCGAGGAGGAAATCGACGATGAAGACTTGCCTTCCAGCTGGGGCGCGCCCTTATCATGGTCACCACTCATGAAAGCGAGTATGAATGAGAGCACAGTGCTTTTGTAAATGAACCCTGTACGCTTCAGTGTGGCTTTAGTCATGAGTCCATGGCGAGCTTGTTATCCTTGGCATTCATATTATATCAATGCCGACGTGCCCATGCTTAATGGCTGTTTTAAAATACCTCCCTAGTAATGCAAACTTTGTAATCGTTTACATATGCTTATTATCGTACGAGTACACTCTCTTGCCCTCATTTCTGTGTGTATGAAGTAGATGTGTCCTTGATCAAAATATCTAGTGAAATGCAGCGTCTAATGGGATTCGTCTTAAAGGCTTATTACAATAGCGAATGTTCTGACTAAATGTAGCTGTGGTCTATACCCATTTACGAGCCCATTCTATCGCATTGCCGCTGGCCATGTAGGAACGACTGACGAAACCATAACACCTGTCATTTTTGACAGCTCTCGAAACTGCTTTACACCGCAGTGGAGGACACACGCTCATGAACGGAAAACGAGCCGTACTTGCCACCTTTCCCTCTTGAGCTGTCGGACCCTGTAATGACAGTCCCAAGTGCACTCTGCTCCGACATGGGCACATAATCGCCAAAAAGCTCGTCCATCTGCTCGAGCGTACGGCCCGACGTCTCGGGGTAGAAGAAGTAGTAACACAGCGCCGCGACGACGTTGAAGACGAAGAAGACGTAAAAGAACTTGAACCCCACGGCCGTGAGGGCCTGCGGCGAAAAGGAGACGAGGACGAGGTTGATG